GGAAGGCCTGGGACAAGATACAGCCCTTCCTGCCTTTCTCCCTCCCTCCCACCTCCCCTCCCTCCCTCCTTTTTTGAGGCAAAATCCTGCTATGTGGTATAGATGACCTTGAACTTGAACTTGTGGTGGGGATTAGAGATGTGAGTTGCCATGTCTGGATGTTATTTTTTGTATTTTAGTGAATGGGCAGAGTAATTTTCTCATTACTGTTCTGACAGGACAGGAAGTATCATCCCCACAATACTCATGTACAGAAGCCCAGTTCCTACCTGATGTGCTATTTGGGAGGTCCTAGAAACTTTAGGAGGTGGGACTAATTAGATTTGGGCCACTGGGACAATGTCCTGAGGGGCTGTATCTTGTCCCAGGCCTTCCTCTCTCATTCTCACTACTTTTTAAATGACTAAGTTCCTGGTCACAATGAGGTACGAACTTTGCTCCTCCACGAACACTCTGTCATAATGCTTAGTTTCTCCATAGCCAAAGGAGATGGAGCTGGCTGAGCATAAACTGAAGCCTGAAACCACAAGTCAAATGATCTTTCTTCTTCTAAGTTGTTCTGTCAGGAAACCTGTCAGGGACAAAATCTGACCACTACAGGAAACACTAGGGAAATGGAGAATTATTACTATTGTGAGTAATATAAGCAAAGCCTTTCTTTCACTATTTCAGCCACACATTTAAGTAGTTCATTCTTCAGAAATTATTCCTCCTAAAGAGAACTGTTTTTGAGTACACAAAAATGTAGAGAATCTTGCAGAGACCCTCATGTAACTATCACCCAGACTCAAAAACTACTGTTAAGACAGTTATTCATAATGGCCTCTTTGCTTTTATTTTTCTGGTGGAACTAGGAAGTAAATCCTAGACCTCTCTGGTGCTAGAGATTGAATCCAGAGCCTCATTCAGGTGCTTTATTGTAAGCTATACTCCCGCCCATTTTGATATAGATTGATACAGAATTTTGCAATTTTAGATTAACAAAAAATAGGGCTATAAATATCTTTCTTAGTCATTTAAAAAGACCATATCTAATTTAAACTTGACTGTATAAATGTATGAGGATTAAGCAGAAATAAAAGGAAAGAGATGTTTAAGTGAGACTCTACTAGTAGGAACCATATAGAATGAGATGCCTTTACCAGCTCCAGGACTGGACTCCATGATAGTAATAGTGTAAGATCCACTGTATAGCCTGAACATAACAGGCAGCTTGATCAGCCAGAAACTCACTGAAATAGAAAGAGGCATTTTCATTACAATGTTGTTTTCTGGAGATAGATCAATGTCTTCAATGCATTTTTAATACTTAAAAAATTATAAACAGAAAAATTCAAATTTCTTTACAATTCCATCTTGTCACATAAAAGGCTGCTTTACCATTTTTCCAAACCAACGGTCACCATAGTTAAGCCTGCTGTGTGTACTTAGGTCATTGGTATGTCATATTTTTGCCGTAGAGTTTGGTGTCATCTAATAAATTTTCTACAAAGTGGTCCCATCACTCTCGTAATTAGTAGGATTGAGAATAAATACAAGAGTTCTTAGAAATCTCACAACAGCATTTACAACAACTTTTACAGAATGTTCTCTCTTCTGAACAAGATTCCCTTCTAGTCTTGTTTCTCAAAAGCCAAACATCATTCTTAAGATTTGGGTTAAACAAATCTTCAAATCACCACAACAAAACAAGCCATAGTTTAAAGTAAAAACTTAGAAATTTTTTATCTTTGCATTTCCAGGAATAATTTTATCTTTAAAATGTCTTATCACCCTCTATCAATCACTAGCTGTTTCAGTTTGCTGCTTCTCAGTCACTGCTGAGATGAGGCTGTGCTATCTTATCTTGTCCAGTGAATTTCTGGGTTCCAGTGAGTCTGTGGCTTTAGCTTTCCAAATAGCTCAGACTAGTCACACACCAAAGTTAAGTCTTTGTTTATCCAATTTTAAAAAACAATCAGCATCTTGTGGAGTTGTCAGTAACTTCCTGCAATCACCATTTAATAGCAGTGCAGATTGTAGAGATGGAGAGAGGAGAGATGATGAGCCAGGGGTTTAGTGAGCCTCTCTTAAATACAAGATCTTGCTATGGAGCCGAGCCTGGCATTTACACAGGTGCTAGGGATGAGAACGTGGGTCCTCAGGTAGGGTGGCAAATGCTACCCACTAAGCTATCTCCCTAGTTTATCCATTCAGCAATTTTTATCCTAGTCATAGAACACACGCCAGAATTACTATCATGAAATGCATTCTGAATTTATGAAACCAATAAATCTCACACTACATCAAAATCATGTTGTTTTCTGAAGAACTTAAAAATCTACTTTTTTTTACTTCAAAATAAACGTCATCAAAAAGCATACTCAGAAACTACATCGACCCCCATCTTCGTCATGTAGTATGTTCTTTTATATTGTCTAAATTCAGTTTCAAACAGATCATCATCTTCAGTCTCATCTTCAAAATTATCTGTGAGAAAAACCAGAAAGATGTGACTGATAGTCATGAATATTGTTTTCCACCTTGTGCGGTGATGCATGCATATAAAAGCTGACGCCTATAGACTGTCATAGGACTCTAGCCAGCTCCCCATTGCTGAGCTCGTACTAATGAAGGAAAGGCAAGACAACTATCATGTCAACGGAATACACTAAACACACAGCTCACACTCACCTCTAGAAGCCACTCCTTCACCTTCACTTTTGTCTAATGCAGCCCAACTTAAAGAATTTTCCTGGCCCTATTAAAAAATAACAAATTATCATAAGATGAACAGTAGGATATGTTTCCAAGTCGGATGTAAAAGGGAGATTAGAAAAATACTAACTATAACTGAAAATGATCTTTAAAGGATACTCTAGCAGCTTACTTTAAAAATAAGATTAAAAACAAAAACTGATACAGGATGGTTTTGTTATCAATTGTTTTCTAAAATTATACATTTTTATTATATAGATCTCAGATATATAATAAATGATTTTTATTAAATAAAAAAGTATATTGAATTATAAGAGCATCTAAACATTAATTGCAATACAAACAAAAATGAAATAATCATATCACTCTCAATACTATTATTGTTCCAACCTACTATACCTTTCATTTTCTGCTCAACTTCCTTTTATACATATTTTGTGACCTTAACCCTTTCTCTCTTGTTTTTGATTGCCCAGCTACTAGCAGTGACACCCATAAGCTTTCCTTCATGTAACTCTGGCCTCTAGGGGCTTTATGCTCATGGGTCATAACTGTATGTATGTCTGATATAACTCACACATTCCTGGAAGACTGGAGAAGGCTAAAGACTGAGCTAAGGTAGAGGACCTAGGAGTTATTAACATGTAGGTTTGTTCCCTTTAAAGTTTCTTTTTTCTTTTCCTTTCTTTCTATTTGAGATAGCCTTACTGTGTAGTCCATGCCTGCCCTGAAGGTCAAGATCCCCAAGTCTCTGCATTTCAAGTAGGATCACTGCACTCAATACAAAGCTTGTTTTCTTAGAAGAAACATATGTGGTAGAATCAGACTGATTACTGCTCAGTTCCACTGAAAAAGAGCTATTCACAAATGTTAGGCTGGAGAGATGGTTTGATAGATAAAGCACCTGATGCCAAATATGAGGACTGGAGTTAGAGCTCCAGCACCCATAGAATAGAAAGCCAGACAGCTGTGGCAGCAGCTTAGGATCTTACCACCTGTGAGGCAGACATGGGAAACACCCTGAGTAAGGAGGGTACCAAACTACCTAGAATTGGTTCACCTGCTTTAATACATAAAGTGAAGAGCAACTGAAGGCGACAACTTCAGGTCTCCACATACACCAAGGCACACATGCACTCACACATACAAATACACACACACATCACGCATACAAATATGAAAAACAGGAGAAAAAATTAAGAAATAGAAAACTGTGCCAGAGAAAATCAGGATATTTATATTTCCCAGGGGAAAATGTATTATTTTATTATTTTATTAATTATTTTTATTAGTCTTGAACCTAAACAGAATCAGGTTCCCATCATTATTGATAGGCTCAAGAAAATTTGAGGTTTCTTTTTCAATTAACACAAACAAGACACTGTTTAATTCAGAACACTAGAATATTCTGAGTCTATTAATCATTATTAAGCAGAGATATTTACTACTGTACTATTTTTAAAATAAATCATATTTATTCTTATTTATTGTGTATGAATGTTCTGTCTGCATGGATGTAAGTGTACTATATGCATGAAGTCTGTGGAGGCCAGAAGAGGGTGCTGTATCCCTTGGAATTGGAGTCACAGATGGTTATAAGCCATCTCATGTGTATTGGGAATCAAACCTGAGTCCTCTGCAAGAGTAGCAAGTGCTCTTAACCAATGAGCCATCTCCCTAGCTCCTAGAGATTATACTACTCATTCTTAATAAGTCCACTGCTGGCACAGTGGTCTCATAGGAGGTCAGTAGTACAAAGCCAGCCTAGACTACATGAGAACTGGTCTTGAATAAACAAGCAAACAAAAAAAAACCTCCTAAGGCCCCGAGTAAGTATAAACTAGCTCAGTGCTCTGCTGTTTTCAAATGGCACAACTTAAATAATTTATTTTAAAAGTGAACTTACTCACTTCTTTAAATTTTTTTTATCTTATATGTATTCAAGTGTTTGTCTGAATGTCTGTATGTATACTACATATATTCCCAATACGCACAGAGGCCAGAAAGGGTGGTAGATTCCTTGAAAGTGGAGTTATTGTAAGCTGCCTTGTGGGGACTGGGAACTGAACCTGGATCCTCTACAAGTGCTCTTGACTTTTGAGCTATCTTTCTAGACCTATTTATTGGCTTCTTAATAGAGGAAACATATCACTATTCCTTAGAGGTGAAAATAAAAAACTCATTTTTTCTTAAATACTTATTTATGATATGAGAGAAACACAGAGACAGAAACCAAAATAATTTTAGATATTCATGTAGAAGAAATCAAAATGAAACAAGTCCCTGAAACCTAAGGAAAATGAGAAACAAGGAACATTAGTTTTACTGTTACAGTTTAAAACAAAAAAAGGAAAAAGAAAAAAAGAAAGAAAAAGAAAGAATGACCCCTAGAAGCTGATCACCTTTGGTTTTCTCTTCTCTTTGCAGTTCTTTGCTTCTTCTGCTGCTGCACCTGCTGCTTCATTGAGATACTTGTTACCAACTTTGCTTTCAAACCATTTGAGGTCCACAAAAACTTCGCTGAAGTGTTCTCGATCAAACTGAACAAAAATCAATTTTAAAATGATTTAAACATGACTAAAAGATTACAAACTAAATTTCTAACAGAAACTATTTCTGGGGTACAGAATATTGAAGATTATTTGTTTATACACACACATAATATCACAAAGTCTGGAAACTGAACATAAGTAACTAATAAAGAAATAGCTCAAGTAAAATGATACAGAATGAATGATCAGAACAATGCTACAAAACCGTCTTTTTCTGGTATTAACGAAATAATTAATGGCCATTCACAGTGATCCTAGATAGGAAAATAAACCTTGTAGTTACTTACATCTGATAGTTTCACAAGGTATCTCTCAAATCGAGGTAAGTTGAGATGTCCACTTTCATTAATATAACCTAAAATGAACCAAATCTAAACTTGTAGTATAAACTGACATTATGTTCTAAACAGCTCTATAAAATTCTTTCCACAAACTGAGTAATTCTTTTAATGAAGAAAACCTTCTAATTGCTTTGCTATCTATAAACCAGCTTTAGTTTCTATAACCTTTATATTACTGTATTTTAGGCACTGAAATAAAATATTAGAAATTCAGGTTATACAATAAAATGGCTTCCACATTTCCAAACATTAACAATGCCGTATGTATTACAGTCTGATTATTCAACTTGAAATACTCATATAAAAAAAGGTGTAGCTGGCTGAGTGGCACACACCTGTATCCTATCCTCTGGGAAGCTGTGGCAGGAGGATTTTGAGTTTGAGGCCAGCCCAGGAATACATAGTAAGACTTCACCTCAAAAAGAAAAAGAAAGCAAAGGAATAATTTCCTGTAATTTAGAGAATTTTTTTTCCAATTTCCCTTTTTAACTGTTTTGGTTTATATTAAATACTTCATATATATTTAGAACAACTGGATTTCTCTAATGAATTATGAATGAATGAAGTGAACCCAGTGAGGCTGCTGTTTTTCTTAAGGAGTTAAAGGTGAGGCTAGTTACTTAATGAGTGAGGTTGTTCACCGGTAGTCAGATTCTTTAGCAACCACTGAAAATGAAAATCTCAATGCCTATCACTTATACTAAAAGAAACACATAGTTTTCCTAATATAGCTACATATACAGTAATCTAGTAAACACAGGGCACTAAATTACCAATAAAGTGGTCTTACCTCCAAGTTCTGGCAGGATAGCAATATATGTTCCATAAAGAAGAGGCAGTGCATCATGATTAATATGTAAATGAGGTAGATGAGGGATAAAATCATTGCCAACAAGAAATCCCATCAAAATCCAATCATCTATAATTTTTTCAATATCATATTTAAATGTGATCTTTTCCTATAGCAAAATGGAGAACAAAGTGAAATCCTATAGAAATTTCTGTATGGAAAATAATAGTCCATGGCTAAATTAAAACTTACTTTTAATGCTGAAAATTCATAATCAATATACTCTCTCATTAAAGACAAGTGTAGTAGGTGAAACGTCGTTTCTTCTGGTGCACATACCCTGTAATTAGTCAAGTGATCAATAGAGTTGTCCAACTTCAAAAATGAAGCAATGGCTAAGTAAAAATTATCACTAATAGATAATTCTTATCTTTAAAGAAGTAATTTATATATAATTATATGAGAATGCTATCCTAATGGATGAAATATGATAAAGTAATAGGCTTACATTGTAAGTTTGGTGGACAGATTCAGAATTCATAAGGTCTAAATAAAATATAGAATTCATATAAGAAACTACCTGGTCATTGTGGGAAGTGTACAAATTAGTGAGGGTATGTGTGCACTTTCAAATATAGTTTATCTCCTGCATTGACAGGCCTCTATATTGGCTTATATTCCAAATTTATCTATAAAGAATAATATTAGGAGACAGTATTATATTTAATTAGATAAGATATAAGCAAGATTTATGGCAAGAATGTGAAGGCAGTTCAATGTAAGAAAAGCAATATCATATAGCACATGAGTAGAATGAAGGGGGAAAATTTCCAAAATCATTTTGCAGAAAAGCATTTAACAGTATTTAAGCACTCTTCCATGATAACACCTGAAATGCAAGTACTCAGGAAGCAGAGGCATAAGGATAGTGAGTTTGAGGCCAGCCTGGTCTACATAAAGAGAATGTTCTAGGCTAGCTTGGCCTATAGAAAGAAACAATGTCAAAATTAAAGTGGGCTAGCAAGAAGCTCAGTGGGCAAGGACATTTGCTGTTAGGTCTGATGGCATGAGTTTGATCTCCAGAGCCCACATGGCAGAAGGAGAGTGCCTACTGTAGGCTATCCTCACCTCCACACATGCCATAGGACTGCATGTGTGTCCCAAACACATTCATTCTCATTCTCACTCTCACACTCTCTCTATTTGTCATATACACATACAACGTACAACATAGTCTAAAAAGGAGAAAGAAAAAGAGCTATAGTGATAATTTTCTTAATATGACAAAAGGCATTTATGAAAACACACAATTAACATTATAGAGTGAAAAAATTACACCTAAGACCAGGAATAAGACAAGGATACCTACTTTACCACAGCTACTCAACACACCATAGCTATTCAACACTGTTCTTTAACTCCTAGCCAGGACAATGAGGCAGGAAAGATAAAGAAACGAAATTAAAATTGGAAAGGGATAAGTACAACTTTATCTGTTTTCAGATGGTGTGATTCTACAGACAGAAAATCCCATAGTTTACATAAAAACGTATTAGTGATAATAGATAGCATATCTACAGGGAACAAGATAGGCAGTATTTCTGTACACCATCAAAGGACAAACCAAAACAAAGTTAAGAAACTTATTCCAGGGGTTGGAGAGATGGCTCGGAGATAAGACCACCAGCAGAACACTGGCTGTTCTTCCAGAGGACCTGGGTTCAGCTCCCAGAACCCACATAGCAGTTCCCAACCATCTGAAACTCTAGTTATGAGGGCTGACATCCTCTTCTAGCCTTGGTGGAACCACACATGCAGGTGGAGCATATACAAATATGCAAGCAAAACATTCATGCACGTAAGTAAAATAAATCTGAAAGACATGATTCTGTATACAAATGACACCTGGAATAGTTAAATACTTTGGAATAAACTTAACCTAAGAGCTATACCAGGGAAACTATAAAATAAAGAAATTGAAAGACACAAAACATTTGCTAATGGATTAGAAGACTATTTCAACATCAAGATGTTTTAAAAGACCTACAGATTTTTAAAAATCTTTCTTAAAACTATCTCTATCAAAATCCCAATGATGTTTTTCACAAGAGAACAGGAAAATGTCCCCCTTGCCCCCCCAAAAAACCTCATGCTTTCATGAGACCCTAAATATGCAAAATAATCTTGAAAAAGAATAAAGTTGGGTCTCACTCTTCTTGATTTCAATGTTATCTACATTATATCTGTATGAACACACCAGTAATGATACACCAGTAATAGAAAGCACAAAAAATAAAACTCTGCATACATGAGCAAATGATTCTCAACAAGGAACTAATATTCTCAATAGGAAAAGAGTAGTTTTCTCAACAAGTAGTGATAGGAAAACTGAGTTTCCACATACAAAGAATAGAACTGGATTAAATATGTAAGTTAAGACTACAAAGCTTATAGGAAATGTTAGATTTCTAAAGCACATGTGTACATTCCATTAATAAAGAGATGGTATAATAATAATAAAACAAACTACAAAACTTAAAGTGAAGCGTAGCTCAGCAGCTGAGTGCTTACCATAGGGCTCCAGTCCAGTCCTGCCAAAAGCTCTAAATAGGAGAAACAAAAACGAACCTCTCTACAAAACTTTTAGAATAAAAAATAGGGATAATGTTTGTGACATTAGATTTGGCAGTGTTTTCTTGGATACTACAGACACTAAAAGGAGAGGCAATAAAAGACAAAGACACACTGGAGTACATCAAAATAGGCACCTATGGATTAACAGGAAATACTCGAAGAACCCACGTGCTAAGAGATTACCAGCCATGCTTTTGTTCTTTCTTCCAACATCTAATTTACCTTTGTGTTTTTTTTCCACCAAACCGAACTTCTTCTCTTAAGAGAGAAAAATGTGCCTCGTGACTTGTTAATCCAAGCATGATCTGTCAAAAAATAATTACAAAATATTGCTATTCTACCTTTGTTCATACCATTAAGTTTACAAAAGCAAATTAATAAAATTTCTATGCAAGGAATAATTTAAAAGTCAAAATGTGAAAATCAGAATCAGTAATTCCAATGGCGGGTATTTATGGAATCAGGTGAGGAAGTGCACATCGGAGCCCACACGCTTTGTAGCTGATACCAAGTCCTCCACTCCTCCTCCCCTAAAGCACAAAACATAGTCCTACTTCTTATGAGTAGACATTAGAAGCATTGACCTTCCATGCCAGATGCTAAGAGGTCACAGTAATATTAATAGGAGAATTTATTCCAAAACGGAAAAGGGCACTTCAATTTCCTCATATATTTTATTCTACTCCCTCTCAAGAATCCAAAAGTCCACTCAAACATGGGAGCCAATGGCAACACATATTTTATTTTCTTTAAATTCTTATTCAAATAACAAAACAAAGTGAAACATGAGGCAATCAGGAGATAAGGTTATTTACATGTTAAAAAAACCACTGTTATATGTGTATGATAATGGCTTTGTGGCTGAGTGCTTTAAAAGCTTATTATGGAAACATTATGAAAACTTGTATGTATTAAGAGATAACAGGGTATGGGATTTGCTTCAATAAACCAGCTTGGTAGCAAGGAAGCTGATGACTACATTAAGTTTAAAAGAATTACTACTTAGAAGAAAAACTTGCTGGGCAGAGGGGTGCATGCCTTTAATTATAGCACTTGGAGGCAGTAGCAGGAGGATCTCTGAGTTTGACGACAACATGGTCTACAGAGTGAGTTCCAGGACAGCAGGGGCTACCTTCACAGAGAAATACTGTCTCAAAAATCTCCAAACCCAAACCAATATAAAACCTCCAAACAACACCCCCTCAAAAAAAAAACCAACCAAACCCCCTAAGGAAACAAGAGTATAAGGAAGGTCATCATAGTAGCTTGCTTGTTTAGGTTTTAGTTAGTATGAAAACTTCATCTGATGGGGCTGGAGAGATGGCTCAGCAGTTATTAAGAGCTGACTGCTCTTGAAGGGGGCCCAGGTTCAGTTCCAAGCACCCACAGGGAAGCTCATAACCATCCTTAATTTCAGTTCCAGGGCATCTGATGGCCCCCTGGCCCAGGCACACATGTAGTCCTCACATGTGCAGGGAAAATGCTCATATAATTCATAGATCTGTGAGTTAGGATAGGAAATATTCATGTCCTTAGGTAACAGCTTTGCTTTTCAGCAGCACTTTCTTTCCTTCCTTCCTTCCTTCCTTCCTTCCTTCCTTCCTTCCTTCCTTCCTTCCTTCCTTCCTTTCTTTTTTTTCCCCAAATCGTAATTCATTCACACAGGGGTTAGGGGTTATAAACACAGAAAGGCAGGATGTGGGAAAGGGGATGACACTGGAGTGTGGGTGTTCAGGGGTAATACAGATATCTTTCAGAACAGGGTATCGGCTGGGTGAAGGTTCAGGGGACAGGTCACTGTGACTCTGCCTATGATTCACTTGTCCTTATCTAAGTTGGTATTGTCTGCCAAGGCTACCTATTTGCAAGGTCTACGACTACTCAGGCTGGTAAATTTCCACAAAAGCTGCCTGTTTACAATAGCTTATAGCCATCTGTTTCAGTGTTTTTCCACAGAGACCCAAGACTTGGTGTTAGTATACATGTACGACAGGCCTATTGCTGATTTTAGGCCTTCAGTGTGTAATCAGGGATGCCTCTGACATCTCCTCCCTTCTCTAAGCATAGAAGGGCTGTGATGATTCTAATCTTGCGAAGGTTGGGATAGAGGCCTGACCTCCAGTAATTGAAGAGGACCTTGTAATGGCTCTAGTCCCCCTGTCGCTGTCCAGTGAGGCATGAGGGCCATACCCGTCCTGATGTCTTTTTCCTGGAGAAGGGATACTTTTGACATCAACCCCTGTGTAGTCAGGCTTGTCTCTCAGGGAACCCTGAGAGATATTTTTAACTTTTATTTATATTCCCTTGCAGTGCTTAGCCTCACAGCCTAAGCAAGAATTCAGATCGCCAGTCAGAGGGGGTTCTGGGTGGCCCCTCTCTCAGCAGTACTTTCTTAGAACTAGGATTACTCAGCTGTGTAGACTAGACCAAGATCAGTTACCCATAATACATGACAAACAAACAAAGCTTATTTTCCCAATTCTTTTAGAACTTAGATAATGGCAAATGTAACAATCACTGCCTTTGCATTTATTGCTACAGCCAGCAAAGTTTTCTGCATTAAAAGTCCATCTCTTCAGTATTTAGCTCTATGACACAGGCTTATAACAACAAGTGTTATACTTACCAAGTCAGCATCTAAGCCATAAAGACAATGTCTGGTGTTTGGATCATGATCTGGCTTTGCTTTCTCGGATCTGATAAATTCCATGATTTTATGCTCTCCTTCTCCAGGAGTCTAAACATAATGTTTAAAAAAGAAGGTGGTAATATGCTATGCTTCAAAGTATTAAATAAACTTAAAAAAATTCTTTATATAACAAAAAATTATAACCTCATGGCCTGAGAAGTAGATGGTAACGCCTTGCCATGATTTGTCTGTGGAAATTTTCATATTTACAAAATACTTCAGATGTTCATGCAACCTGGCCATGAATTCAGTCCCTATAAGTAAAAAATTTTAAAAGGTTAATCAGAGAAAGAGATGAAAATAACAAAAACAGGTAAGTTCCCAGTAACAACATATAATCAGTAATCTTCAAAACCCAAAGTTCTCTTGCTTATTCTCCAATACTTCAAATGTCACTAAAAGGTAAAGTCATGAATTTTACTCCATGTATAGACTGTGCTTTAAGTATTCACCTAAGTGCAGTTTGAACTCTAATATACTCCAATTTTCTATATTTCTTCTGAATTCCTAGGAATATTATTAACTTTACTTATTATTATGTCAGCGTATGATATGTAATATGTGAAGGTAAGCATATGCATGCCACGGCACATATGTGGGGGCTAGAGGACAGTTTTTGGTAGTTCGTTCTATCCACTGACCATGGAATCTGGACTTTAAACTCAGATCAGCTTATGCGGCAAAAGATTTTACCCACTGAATATCTTGAAGAACTTTTAAGACATGTAGTTTTAATCAGATTGCCAATATTAACTATTATTGTTCATGTATATTATTAATAACTAATACTGCTTTCATTTTTAAGACAGGGGCTGTAGTTCAGATTAGTCTTGATCTCACTAGGAGGTAAGGATAACCCTAAACTTCCCAAGTCTTGTAATTACAGGCATGCACAATCATGCCTGATTTATACTATGATAGGGATTGAAACCAGGATCTTATGCATACGAAGCATAGACTCTACCAAATAAAATTATATTCCACTCCAACAAATACTCGTGTATGTATATACAAGCTCATGTAGAAGCAGCTGTTTATGTGGAGTCCAAAGGAAAACTTGTGTTTGGTTCTTCCTTAAACACAATCCACCATGGTTTTTTTTTTTTTTTTTTTTAATCTTTTGGTCAGGGTTTCTATGTATCTCAGGCTCCGTGGAACTTGTCATGTAGATCAGGCTGGCCTCAGACTCACAGAGATCCTCTTACCCCTGCCTCCCAAGTACTGGTATTAAAGCCACATGCTACCATGCTCAGTCACTTTGTCTCTTGAGACAAAGATTCTCATTGGAACCTGGGACTCAAAAAGTAGACAAACCAGGTTGACTAGTGCACCCCAGGGATCCTTTCGACTCATCTCTCCAGCACAGATTACTAGTGTGCCCCACCACACTAAGTTTCTTATATGGGTGCTGGGGATTGAACTCATGTTTGTATGACAAGCATTCTACTGAACTGAGCTATGACTAATAACTGCTATGCTCTAAAAGTTTTAAAACATTTATTTTATGTATACCATATTTGCCTACACATATGTATGTATACCATGTACATGCAGTGCTCTTTGAGGACAAAAGAAGGCATCTGATCTTCTAGAACTGGAGTTACATTATGTGGGTGTTGGAAATCAAACCCAGGTTCTCTGTAAGAGCCTGTTTTTAACCATCGAGCCACCTCTGTATCTCAATAACTACTGTTCTTAACATGAAAAAATTACCTTTAATCTGGAAAATGAGTATACAATGACTATGCCATAGAAAATGTCAGATGATCAACAGTTAAAGACTACCTTAAATTATATCCAGGAAAGAATGGTTATTAAATTGAGCAATGCATATCTAAGCCAGTTAGAAATAAAAAAAAATGTACTGGTTTGTATGGAATTTAAAAGGTTACACTTACAATTTTTGTTCAAAATAAAGGACTATAAAGATGCAGTGAATCCCCTCAAGTGTATCAAGTAGGGCGATGTACATAAAGTTAAGTTAAGCATATTACTAATAAGTTATTATTTTTTACATTTATGTATTTATTTTATTTGTGTGGGTGGAGGCCAGAAGACAATGTGCAGAAGTTGGTTCTCTCTTCTAGCATGTAGGTCCTGGGAACTTAACATCAGGCTGGGCAGCAACTGCCTTTATCTGTTGAGCCATTTTTCTTTAAAGTCATAGAAGTCTTAGTTACCTTAGGGAGGTAGAAGAATAAAGTCCATGGACTAAAAGAAGAGGTTTCTCATCCTGAAACCCATAATAAGGTAGGTATAGAAACTTGGTAAATCACAAGTCAATCACAAAGTCACAAATCAGTTTGATACTGATAACTGACCATGGTAAATTGAAAGCTCTAAGTTCCTTCCAGGTCAGGAACTCTATGTAGCTGACCAATCCTTTCCATCCCTGCTCATCAACATCTGAAAACCTATAGCAGGTCTTCACAGAAACACTCACAACCAACACGATGACGTAGATCATCTTACAAGTACACAAGCTAGTTAAAGCCCAAGGACAAACAGCCTAAATTCAGAAATACATTAGAAAAAAAGTTCATTTTTCTACTGGACAGTTTTAGCTCCTTTGTCAAAGATCAACTGACCATAGGTGTGTGGGTTCATTTCTGGGTCCTTAGTTCTATTCCATTGATCTTCCTGCCTGTCTCTGTACCAATACCATGCAGTTTTTATCACTATTGCTCTGTAGTACAGCTTGAGGTCAGGGATGGTGATTCCTCCAGAAGTTCTTTTATTGTTGAGAATAGTTTTTGCTATCCTGGGTTTTTTTGTTATTCCAAATGAATTTGAAAATTTCTCTTTCTAACTCTATAAAGAATTGGGTTGGGATTTTAATGGGGATTGCATTGGATCTGTAGATTGCTTTTGGCAAAATGGCCATTTTTACCATATTAATACTGCCAATCCATGAGCATGGGAGATCTTTCCATCTTCTGAGACCTTTGATTTCTTTCTTCAGAGACTTGAAGTTCTTGTCATATAGATCTTTCACTTGCTTGGTTAGATTCACACCAAGGTATTTTATAATATTTGTGACTATTGTGAAGGGTATCATTTCCCTAATTTCTTTTTCAGCCTGTTTATCTTTCACGTAGAGGAAGGCTACTGATTTGTTTGAGTTGATTTTATAACCAGCCACTTTGCTGAAGTTGTTTATCAGGTTTAGGAGTTCTGTGGTGGAAGTTTTGGGGTCACTTAAGTATACTACCATATCATCTGCAAATAGTGATATTTTGACTTCTTTTCCTATTTGTATCCCTTTGACTTCTTTTTGTTGTCTAATTGCTATGGCTAGGACTTCCAGTACTATATTGAATAGGTAGGGGGAGAGTGGGCAGCCTTGTCTAGTCCCTGATCTTAATGGGATTGCTTCAAGTTTCTCTCCATTTAGTTTGATGTTGGCTACTGGTTTGCTGTAAATTGCTTTTACTATGTTTAGGAATGGTTCTTGAATTCCTGATCTTTCCAAGACTTTTATCATGAAGGGATGTTGAATTTTGTCAAATGCTTTCTCAGCATCTAGTGAGATGATCATGTGGTTTGTTTTCTTTGAGTCTGTTTATATAGTGGATTACATTGATGGATTTCCGATTATTGAACTATCCCTGCATTCCTGGGATAAAGCCTACTTGATCATGATGGATGATTGTTTTGATGTGTTCTTGGATTCGGTTTGCTAGAATTTTATTGAATATTTTTGCATCGATATTCATAAGGGAGATTGGTCTGAAGTTCTCTTTCTTTGTTGGGTCTTTGTGAGGATTGGGTATGAGTGTCAGCTTCATAGAATGAATTGGATAGTGTTCCTTCTGTTTCTATTTTATGGAATAGTTTGAAGAGAATTGGTATTAGATCTTCCTTGAAGGTCTGATAGAATTCTGCACTAAAACCATCTGGTCCTGGGCTTTTTTTGGTGGGGAGACTTTTAATGACTGCTGCTATTTCCTTAGGGGTTATGGGACTGTTTAGATGGTTTATTTGCTCCTGATTTAACTTTGGTACCTGGTATCTGTCTAGGAAATTGCCCATTTCATCCAGATTTTCCAGTTTTGTTGAGTATAGGCCTTTGTAGTAGGATCTGATGATTTTGTTTAATTTCCTCAGTTTCTGTTGTTATGTCTCCCTTTTTAGTTCTGATTTTATTAATTTGGATACTGTCTCTGTGCCCTCTGGCTAATCTGGCTAAGCGTTTATCTATCTTTTGTTTTTAATTTTCAACAAATGGAGGACAACATGTAGAAGAATGCAAATTGATCCATTCTTAGCTCCTTGTATAAAGCAAAAGTCTAAGTGGATAAAGGACCTCCACATAAAACCAGATACACTGAAACTAATAGAAGAGAAGGTGGGGAAGAACCTTGAATAGTTGGGCACAGGGGAAAAGTTCCTGAACAGAACTCCAATGGCTTATACTCTAAGATCAAGAATTGACAAATGGGACCTCATAAAATTGCAAAGTTTCTGTAAGGCAAAGGACACTGTCAATAGGACAAAATGGCAACCAACAAATTGGGAAAAGATCTTTACCAATCCTACATCTGATAGAGGGCTAATACCCAATATATATAAAGAACTCAAGAAATTAGACTCCAGACAACCAAATTACCCTATTAA